GCCTTTTTGCATGATGCATTTCTTGGTACCTCAAGGTGTTTCTGCAGTAGTGGTTCTTCCACACTGGACGTGACTGAGGCAAAGAAAGCCCCAGGCAGCAGCTCAGGCTTCCCTGGTCTTTGACTTTAGGGCGGAAACTCTTCCCTTTGAACATCTTCCTGCCGGGGCCACCTCATCTTGCACTGCAGCTGCCCCACAGCAGGCGGCAGCCACCCAGCTCCACCGGGTGAGCAGGGCAGGAGGCTGGGCAGTCCCACTCCCTGTGCCCTGTCAGGGGGACAGATGCATAATCTGGAGTAACTTGGCTTTGTCATTGTTAACCAGCCCTACAAACCATATGTAATCTCTACTCAGGGATGTTTTTACATTTCTCTTCAGCTTATCTTCTTGTCCTTTACGTTATGAAACAGCTGGGACTCTTCTCAAAGTAATTCCAGCTCAGTTGCTCTCCAGACTGGCAACTGCCTTTGGAAATTCCTTGCATTGATCCCTGACTAACCAAGCAATCCTTATAGAGGAAGAAAGTGCTATCGTGTTTTGAATATAACAGAGCACAAGCAGAAAAAATGACTAGTTATGTGCCTACTGGAAATACTCTGCCAGATTTGCATATCTGCATTTAAGGGATGTACTTTGTTTCCTTTCTGAGTAAATGAAGAATCCTAAGTTTGTCTCACTTGAACACAGCATTAGAAGCTGGTGATATTGTACGTGATGGGCTACATGGGCTCTAGTGAGCACATGCAAATGGGTAATTTGGAACAACTGACATACATTAGTCATTTTTATTAAGGAAATTCTGCTTCAGAGCTTAATAGAAGATAGAAAGAACATGGAACACTTGAGTAAATTGAACTCTATTTGTGTGTGTGCATGTATATGTGTACAATGCCCATTATTGCAACAGAGGTCAATGATTAATTTATTTTGTCTTTAGGATGATTATTCTGAATTTTATGCTCAGCACTGTTCCATGGTACTAAAGATAATATTGGAATTTCAGGGTTTAA